TGATTCAGTTGTCAAATTTAAGTTTCATTCATTTTTTGGGCGAAATTACTGCAATTTGTTTGAGTGGTTAGAAAAATATTACATAACTTACATTTACATTGCGCACTAGTGATAACTTATTACTGATAAGTACCTACCTAATTCGTAATAATGTTAAATACAAATATTTTTGTTCATTTTTAAAAATTGTATGTGAAGATATAATCATAATCAAAACTACAACATTCAACAGAAAAATGTCACAAACAATAACAATAATAACTTTCAATATTTCGTTGGCCCTTCCCTAACCCGTAATAATTCGTTAACCCTCCTGGGGTAAGGCTTCCCATTCTTCCTGAATAGCATTTACCAATTCATACAAATTTTCCATGCGTCCTTTCCTCTCTTTCATCTTCAGTTTCATCCTGCTCAACACATTCATATTCAGAGACAAAGGTGGCCAATTCATTCTCTCAATATCGTGGTCCCTTAAATACTCATTTACGATATTAGCGGGGCCGACGGGCATTGTCGTCCACCAACACCAAATTATTGGCAACATTTTGAGCTTAAGGGACCACGATATTACTAACACACAAATCTCTATATCTCTCAGCATTCATGACCAATTCACTCTTTCCATTCATTGCCATTCCACCCCAAACACTCCTTCATCTCCAAAAGCCACCTTGTTTCGTGCAATCTTCTGCAAACCGTTGATTTTGAGATGTTAAGTCCCGTAGCTGCAGCAAAGTCTGGCATTGGCATTTCAATCACTTAAAGGAAGAATGGAAGTAACCTGGGTAAGATGGGTGTAGGTATGTAGGTAGGTAGATATAACTTATGCAAAAAAACTTGTAAATTTGTAAAAACACAAGCAAACTGAAACAAACAAGAGTATCCCTCATAATGTGTTTTGAATTTTTTTCAAGAACTTATTTTCACCATTTGATCCTCGATTTGATCATTCAGCGACATAATAATAACGTACTAAAGATGCAAAACACAGTAAAAAAACAGTGAAAACCAGCAACCGGATTTTATTGAAACATTTAACAGTCGGGAATTGTTTTCGAATTTTTATTCTTGGTGATTTTGGTTTTATCTGAAACTTAAATTTGACAACTGAATTACAATCAGGTCAAAATTATGAAAAAAACATGTCACGAAGGTAAATATCGGTTCAGGTTTAGTTTTCGCAAATTTTCGTAAGTAATATCATAAGGGCATCTAATTTTTCCGAAAAAAATCGAAAAAACACGTTGCTAAGTAATATTTTAACAAAACGCATGAGTGCTGGTGGCAACAAAAATACGAGTCGAAGACGAGGATTTTTGCACCTGCACGAATGCATTTTGTTAAAAAATATTACTTAGCATGCCCGAATGGTATTTGACAAGACTATTTCATGAGTAACAGTTAACAATTAAAATATAAATTGAAATTTTTGGTGACAACAGCTGTCAAGTTTTGCCGCGGGTAAACTCGAAAAAACTGCTGACAGGTGCTGTCATACAGTTTTTTCACCTAGAAACCATTTGTAATTCAAAATTGCGCGTTTGTGATTGGTTGAAATTAAGACGAGGGAAATAGTCACCAAAATGTCATTTTGAAAAAGTGGTCTTTGCTCAGGTTCCTCTGAAAATAATTGAAGTTTGTTGCTTGTCGCTTGTTTCGGAATTATTCAAGGAACAATCTTTCACCATCTTATCTTCTTGTTCTTAAAAAGGCTTAGTGTATTGCCTACAAAAAAGCATTAAATGTACCCTTTTGGAATAAAATCATATTTTCCAATTCGAAAAATTTGACGAGAACAAAATTATTTTTTTAAAAACAGGGCTTGGATGAAATTATTGAAATATTTTACCATTTAACATATCACCCTGTAGGAAATTTACTTGTAAAACCGTGAGCTTCATATCTATAGCATGAATTGCCAGAGGATAAGGCTAGCAGACTTCCTAGACCAAAATAAAATCGTTCAAAAATCAAAAAAATTATGTCGTTTTGAAAAAGAAAAAGAAGGATGTTATTTTACTCTAAGATGTTTAAACAGCATTAAGTAGTGAATATTATTGCAAGTGGGACAGTTACTTTTCTGTAATGTCGAGGAAAGTTTAATTTTTTTATAGGGTTAAATTTAAAATTTTACAATTTTGCTAATATATAATTGCCAAAAACCTTAAACCAATTGATTTCGATTAGTAAAGTTTCAAATGGCGTTAAACTCAAGTTTTTATAAAATATTAAAGTAGAGGGACAGAAATTTGAAAATATCCCATTTATACTTATAGGGTTCACGAAGTATCCTTTTATGTATGTGTATCTTTTTATTTAAAAAGCTACACGGTCGGTTAAAGAGTACTTTAACCGACCGTGTAGATGTTTAAATAAAAAATATACACTTACATAAAAGGATGCCTATAGACAAAATCTGCATAATTACAAGTCTATTTATTATTTGATCCTTGATTTAAAAATTGGAAAAAAGTGGATTTCAAATAATTTAATAATAAAACTGAAAACCTTATAAAATCAAAATTGTTTATAATTTCTTTATTTCTCAAAATTTTTAAAAAAGTAAGTTTTACACGTAAACATACACATTTATCTACATTTTAATCAAATTTCTGTTTTTTTTCGCCTACTAGATTTTTAGTTATTACCACAATCTTTTGTTTTTCTCATGGCTACCATATCGAATTTTTACATGGTTGGATAGAAAAAAAATTAAGGAATCCAACCATGTATCAAACTACATAAGTTATGTCGGCCATTACAAAAAAACATGCTGATGGTAACACATATATACACTACTAAAGTCTATTCAAATCCAAGCTGGACTAAATGTTAACACAATCCTCCGAATCGACCAATAAGAACTCACAATCCGAGTCACACCATCAGAATCGACCAATAAGAACGATTTATCATGCGTCTGGGCGTTTTTGTTTAGTCCAGCTTGGATTTGAATACACTTTAGTCGCAAAGACATTGAAAGAAAATGTATATTAATGTGTACATGTTAAACTTACTTTTTTTCTTTAAAATACCCAGAAATAAAAATGTTATAATTATTTTTTGTTTAATAAGGTTTTTAGTTTTTTTCAAATATTTTGAGAATGGCTGGCTTTTTTTCCAATTTATAAATTATAAATTACGCAACTCTTTCTAATTTAACCGACCTTGTTGCTCTTCAAATTAATAAAAATACCCATTCATAATACACATACAAGGACACCTTGTTTAAAATACCTAGTAATAATTTTATGAAGTATCTTACTATGCTTTTTTGTTTTATGAAAGGTGTAAGTATAATTTACTTATATATCTCAAAAACGGAGATTAATATTTATAAAAATCTAGTCCTATAATTAAAACTAATGCGGTCACTTTAAGTGTTTTAATCTAATTATTCATCAATTAAATTATTAATTACTATTAAAAATATATTTTTTAAACATTATAAATTATAATGTTAGGTAATATGGTTAATAATAAAGAGTTTCGACGTTTGTGTAAACTATAGAAATTGACTAAATTCATTATTTATTAGAGAAGTAAATTTGATTTAAATATTTATTATACATAACGGTAAAAAATAAAATAGTATATTCCTTATTATTAATGGGTTATTAAAAAATAATAGTTTTTTCATTTGAAGTTATGGTTACAGGTTTTCGTTTTCGGATTTTAAAAAATTCCAGAAAAATAGTTTTTGTTTAATATTTTTTAAACACTAAAAGCATGCTAAAAGGGCATTAGAATCAGACAAAAACAAATGAGATGAAAAGAAAATACACGAGGGAATTTTTTCTACCTTAATGAGGTTTATCAATGTCCAGTTAAAGTTTCAGTTAGTTATTTGTTAGTTAATTTCCATGGATACCATTGTTCTCACAACGATTGATATGAAATTTAACTGTCAGATAGACTAACTGGAACTTAACTAGAAATTGAGTAACCTAAAATGTCGATATTAGTACTTTTACTAAAACATTATCAAATAAAATCTATAAAGGGCCTTAGCATTTTAAATTATTCTGAAATATTAGCATTTTAAGTTAAAAATTAAATGGAAAAGGTTAAACCAAAATTTACAATAAAATGAATACACCTAAAACTGTTTTATTAAAAAATTAAAAAATTTAAAATGCCATTTTATTCTAAGGCTCTCAATTGCTTTATTTGGTAATGTTTTAGTAGAAATAAAAATATTGACTTTGTCAGTGGCGTAGGTAGATTGGTAGATAAGTAGATTGCGGTAGACTTTTACAAAATTCCCCTCTTCCATTTTCCGGTAATTAAACCTTTAGTAAATACCAGTTTTTTTAACAGCATGTTAATTAAGGTAACAGGAACCTAATCGACTATGCATGTCCCAGTCTTAGAAAATGGTAGAATAAGTATTAAAAGGGCAATACCCAATAAAACAATAGCTAAAATTTCGTTTTATTATCTTTTAGTGTTTGAAAGTTATTGCAAAAATTAATTAATTTAAACTTAACTTTTATTTTATTTTCTTCCAAAGTGCATAAAAGTTATTACTAATTTTAGTCGTATAAGGGGTTGTCCATAATGTAAGTACCTACGTCACACATTTTTTTGGGATTTTAGGCACCCTCCACCCCTTTCACATATTGCCACAAAGTCCGGCCGAGGGGTCCCCCTCCACCTCTAAGATAACACGTCACACTTGGATTTTTTTGTAATTTCATGTATTTTCTAAATCTAATTAATTTTATTAAACAATTTTTAGTAGAGCTAATATGTATTTTAATTGTTTACGAACATATTATAACCTTAAATATTATTAATAATTAAAAAATAAAAATCTAAAAAATTTCACGATCCAGACACCTAGTTGTGGGACGTACTTTATGGACGACCCCTAGGTTTTTTAAAGATAAATTTTATTTTTTATTTTTATTTTAATAATAAACAATATCAAATAACATTTGCTTTGATTTTTTTCATAAAATTAAAAAAAAATATTTCAAAACAAATTAACATCTTACCTTTATTATCCTTATAGTCTCTGGAAATAACATTCAAATAATCGCTAATTTTTTTAACATCTTCAATTGCTCCCCCAATATTTCCGCTTGGGGCACATTCTACCATAAACTCATAATTACTAAGGATTTTCGTTGATGGTCTGGATTCAATATGCAATAAATTAACTCCATGTTTTTCAAAGATTCCCAGATACTGAGCAAGAACGCCGACTTTTTCGGCAGGTGGAGCAAAAATTAGGCAAGTACTTTTTGCTGAATCCTTGGCTGGTTTTATGTAGTTGCCCCCTGGCATTAAAGTTGGCTGAAAAAGTTCAATGCAAATTAAAAAACATTTGCAAAGTGTTATTTTTTTTTAATTTAATTTGATGAAAATGGAAGGTGGCAAAAAGTGTATAAAAAATTGCAAATCAATAATTATTATTCTTACAGCACAATTCCATTTTAGGTTTAAATTTATCCATAAAAATTAAACCAAAAATATAAAAACTTACGTCTATCAACGTTGGATTCATGGCAAAAACTGGTCTATAATTTAATTCAAATTGACACTATAAGGTTGTTAATCTTGCGATAATATTTTAAAACTGAATGAATTTAAATTTGTTCTTGAATTTATATTTCTAATTCTATACTGATGCAAAGATACAAACAAAGCTTTAATTTCCTTGTATGTGTCGTATCTAGGTAGATTTTTATATTTTGCAACATTAGAAATAAATTACATCAGAAAGAATGGAAGGAATTCCGAAATAATTACATTAACTTGGGTATTATTTTATTTATTTTGCATACTTTTTAAAAGAACCTGAATCTGAATTAAATTGCATATTAGGTATAGGCGCACATGCAAGGGGAGAGCAGGGGGCAGCTGACCTCTCCTTACACTGGGAGAAAAAATGTTGTAGAATCATTTAAAACGATACTAATTCAAAGGGATTCAATTTGAATCATTTAAATATGTTTTGGCGTCATTGGTGTGTCTCATTAAATTAATAGGTGTATAACAATTGTATAATATACGGGGTGTTTCATAATATATGCGCAGGACTTCAGGATGTGATAGCTCATCCAAAAAGATGAAAAAAGTCGCCAATAACTTACCCTCTAAAATGCAAAATTTTCGAGATACAGGGTGTTGAAATTTTAGAAAAAAAAATCGTTTTTATCGTACAAAAAACAGCTTTTGTAAGTAAGCATTTTCTACACAAAGTGCTCAATGACAAGTTCATTAAAATTTTCAGTAGCCAACAATTTTCTTTCAATGGAATACATAGCTAAAGAGTTTAATTTATTTTCGCACATTGTATTCCGCGTAAAAGTTTTAATGCGATTTAATGTTGAAAAAGACCGTTCACATTCAACTGTTGTCATAGGCATTGTACTTATGATTTTTAATAATTTAACAGACTCTGAAAACGCATCATACAGATTATTTTCATAAAAGCAATGTAATAATGGTAATGTACTTGCAGAATCCTGCCTTCTGTAAATAACTGTTAATTCGTATTTTAACAAATATTTGTCTAAGTTAAAAATTTTAACTGCTAGTTCATACTCTTTATCAGGAAACAATAATTGAAATTTAGAAAATAGCGCCATATATGGAGAGATGATCAGAGAACCGGAAACGATCTTCTATGGATGTAATAATAACGTCGCATACTTCCTTAGCAACAATTTTATATATATCTTGATAACGCGCCCTTTTTGGTTGTAATACTGGTTGATCATTCAACCAGCTTCTTCAGCAAAGTAATTATGATCAGTTGAATCCCTCACATTTTGGATAAACTGTTTAAATGAAGATACGCTGTCAATATTGCGGCTCTGTAATTGATTAAAGAGAATTGGGCATAACCTTATTAAAAAAATATAACCAGTAAAGAAAGTCAGGATCTTTTAACGTATGTTTTAAGCCAACTGCTTTACTAACTGTGCTCTTGTCATTTGTAGGATCGTCTATTATTTGCTCAAGGCACAACATAATTTCAGTTTTTTAAACATATACGGTTGTAAAACACTTTTAAAATTCCATCTAGTACTCTCTGACCTAGGTAGACGTTTTTTGACCACTTTGTCGAGAACAGCTGTACGTTTTGGAGACCTTGAAAAAAATGTGCTAAAGCCCTCAATGTTGCAAAAATAAACTTTAACTTGTTTGTTTTGGTTTGCTGCACGTTCAATAATTAAATTTATTTGATAAGCATAGCAGTGAATATAATGGGCGTTATTATATATTTTTTTAAATTTTGGCTTGCACGCCGTTATCTTTTCCACTCCTAACTGCGGTACCATCGTAACTCTGTGCAATCAATTTTTGAGGGTTCTTGTCAATAATTTTTAGTTATTTTAAAATTGCATCACTAGTTCCTTCCGCAGTATGGTCCTTGATTACCAAAAAATCCATAAATCTTTTGTGAACTTTACCACCTAATTAATATCGTATTAAAAGAACGAGTTGCGAAAGAGTAGCACAGTCAGTCGTTTCGTCCGCCATTACTGCTACAAAATTAGATTTATTTATTTCAGCAACGATTAAATTTTGGCAAACCGCGTATATAAAGCCTAGTAGTTCATTTTGTATGGTTTTCGATAAACCCATAAATATATTCTTCGTTTTATTTATATGGTCTTTTAAAGTCCCATCAATTTCCGCCAATAAATTTACAAGTCCCCGAAAAATTCCCGGATTAGCACTAGTTTCAGACTCATCGTGGCCACGTACGTAGAGAAACCTTAAAAATACCACAAAATTTTATACAATCTATTATCCTACTAAGTGTACGTCTATTTTTTGTCACATTTTCATTATGTTCGGTAATGGCCTATGCCGCCCTAATGATTTTATTTCTAATCGCAATTCATATGTTAACTTATTTAAATTAACAAAAGTACCTAATTATATTATTTACGGTATTTATCTCCATTTTAAAAATAACAGAAAACAATACCAACTAACTGACTTTCCTCAAAACGCGCAAATCGGCAACGCGGTGACGGGAATCTTACTATTTCGCACGATTATGATGGACGACCAGTGTTGCCAGATAAAAAAAATTCATGTCGCACCAGAGGCGGCGAAAGTCGCCAAAATAAAGTAAAAGTCGCCAGTTTTTTTAAGTACATTTTTTTGTGAATTTTTACTTGTAAAATAAAAAAATAACTGAACATGTTCACCCATGATTTTTATTTAAATAGCATAGTTTAGTAAACATATGTTTTATGTCGATAAACATATTTATATTATTTCGATCATAGCTTTGGTGAGTCAAGGAGAATTATTTTACCCTCCTTGGGGCTGACGCCGATCTAGCGTCGAAAATCGCCCAAATGGCGACTTGTGATTTTTGTAAATTTATGGTCGCCAGAGCGAGTTAAAAATCGCCCAATTTGTGATAAATCGCCCAATCTGGCAACACTGTGGACGACTCCTAATAAACCAGATATATTCCGCCCGCACGCCGCACACCCCCGCCTTCATCGATACGTCAGACCAACAGTGCAGATTTGAATCCGCCCGGCTTGTAACTATCCATCCTAAAAAAGTTTACCCGTCCTAAAGTTTGTTAGGGTGTAACATTACAAATAAATTAATGAAATATAATGTTTTTAAGTAGCATCGGGGGAATTTGGGAGGGCACTGCCCCGTTGCCCTCCCTGTAGCCACTGTCTGGACAGGTATTTTCGAAGATCGTCTGGTTGGACCCATTTTTCTTAATGGTAATCTGACAGGAGAAATGTATTTGAAATTACTAGAAAGTTTATCCCTTACTGGTCGATATTGTTTAAAATGACAACAGCTATACGGCCATTCCAAGCCCATGGACAGGACACATCAGAAACATGTCTAAATATATTCTTGTTACTTCCTTAAGTTTACTTATTTTTTCTACGAGTATTTATGAGAAGTATTAGCCAAATTTGGCTAATACTTCTCATAAATACTCGTAGAAAAAATAAGTAAACTTAAGGAAGTAACAAGAATATATTTAGACATGTTTCTGATGTGTCCTGTCCATGGGCTTGGAATGGCCGTATATTGAAAACCATTTAATGTTCCAACAAGATGATTACACAACATACACTGCGTGTTTTTGGACTGAGTGTTTCCTAGAAAATGGATTGAATAAAGAGGTCAGATCGGGTCAGATCTCTAGGATTTTTTCACATCGGGTTAGATCTCTAGGATTTTTTCTGCAGGGCCTTTAAAGTAAAATTTCCGCAACAGAGCCGAGGTCCCTACAAGAGTTGCGTATTGAGGATGAATGCCAAACAAAAAATATGTCAAAAGTATAAGTCAAAATTGGTTGTAATAAAATTAAAGAAGGGTAGCTACCTAGGTACTCCTTTCTGGAAGGATTTGGTTCAAACTTTTTTTTATAGGATCCTCATTTTTTAAACGAGCTAGAGTTTTTATGAAGAATGATTTTTTTCGTAAAACGCAAAATAAAAAAGTTTGTTCTATTGGCAACCCGATCAGGGCAAAATTAGAAAATGACAGAGTAAACTTAATTTTTGGTCGTAGATTTCAAATCCGTGCTTGGTTTAGCTGAATCAGGTCAAAATTCAAAAATATTTAATTTTCAAGTTTTGGAGCATCCGATTAGGAAACACCTTGTATAAATAAAAAAAAAAATCTTGCAAAATTTGAGCATAATTGATTAAAAGGAACCCGTGTTCCTGAGAGTTTTTTTTAGATAATTTAGGAAATTCAAAATGTTTTTTATTACATATAATTGAGGATATTATATTATATTAAACGAAATAAAAAGCATGTTGGCAAATGAGATGGAATATATTATTTTACAAATTATAATTTACCAGTATACAGTGTGTCCCTGGATCGGATTGCCAATAGGAAAACGAGCACGGATTTGGAATCTACGATCAAAAATTATGTTTACGTGACCGAGCGTTTAGCTGTGATATTTCAATAGTTAATTTACCTACAGTGCAATTAGTTATTTCTTCGAGTAGGGAAATCAATTTTAATTTTTTTAGCATAACTTAAACTACGTGCCAGAGATAAAATTTTGTATACAGAGTGTTTCAAAAAACATGCGCCAACGCTCGGCTGGAGATTCATTATTCAAAAATAAGAAAAAAAAGTCATATAAACGTGGGTCCGAAAATGCTTAGTTTTTAAGGTACAGGGTGTTAAATATTTTTTTTTAAATCGACTTTTTTAAAATATCTTAAATATCCTTTGGCCGATTCTGTTGAAATTTGGCAACGTTATTTATAGTTATAAGTAGCTAATTTTTCTTTAACTACGTTAAAATTTTCAAGTCCAGTAGCGTC